GTGGACGGAGGAGATTGAAGAAGAAGACAGACATAGCCGGGGGTGAAAAAAAAAAAAAAAAAAAAACACAGCAAAAGAGAAGAAGAAAGAAAGTGAAGGAAGGGGAAGTAGACGGCGAGGAAGGTGCCGGCAGCCATAGCCGAGGTGAGGAGTTGACCGGGCGTTGACCAGACCGTTGACCAGAGGGTTGACCAAGGGTTGACCAAAGGGTTGACCGGGCGTTGACCAAGGTGGTTGACCAAGCGTTGACTGGGGGTTGTCCACGTTGACTCAGCGTTGACCAAGGCGTTGACTGGAGTTGCTGACCAAGATTTTGACCAAGCTGGAGTTGGTGATATCTTGTTGAGCCCTTAGCCTATCCCCTTACCCTGTGGATGTGCACTCACCCTACGGTCCTTGCTGAGTTTGAGTCTGTCTGTCTTTCCTTTCTGCATTGAGTCTCTTCTGTCCTAGGTGTTAGGACTCTGTGGATGAAGGATAGGGCCTTTCTGCCAAACCTGCACGGGCTTAGTAGGACCAAAGCCCTACGCTGGCACTTGGAGACCTGGGCATGAGTGGCGAGCGCTCGTTAAACAACTCGTTTAGCCCAATGACCGGTACTGTCCGGCAGGTCTACTGAGTTCAGTATAGAGGGTCTGAACTCCGAGCTGTAGGCTGAAACGAAGGCCGTCTTTAAGTGTTGAGGCCTGGTTGAGCCACTCCCCTACCGGACCTACTATAGCTGTTGATCTGTGTCTGACGACTCGACTGTCCCGAGGGATACGAACCCCTCCAAGGACTGGTACAGACCGGCGAGCTGCTCGGTGTGGCACAGTAGGCTGGAACGGCTGAGTTGTGGGCTGAAATCGCCAGGAAGAACCAAGCTGATCACGTCGTCCTGTCTGCGACTTTAAAGAATTCTTGCGGAGTTTGGGGGATCTCCTTAAATGCCTCCTGATCAGCTGTTGGTTCTGTAGTGACAGCCTTAGAGTAGTTGAGTAGTGGTTTTCAGAAAGTCAGTCGGTAGGTCAGTGTCCGGGTAGGTCCAAGTGGTGAGGAGTTGGACCTTTGTCGTGCACCTGACACCACCATGGTAGACACCCGGCGCGGCACCTCCAATATGCCGTACACAAAGGAGGAGGAGGCGAAGATGGCCGCCATCCGGCAGGAGAGGAAGGAGAAGGAGGCCAAGAAGAAGGCCCTGCAGGAGGAGCAGGCGGCAAAGTTGAGAAAGATAGAGGAGGAGATGGCCAGGGAGAAGGAAAGATTGAAAAAGGAAGAAGAGCAGAAGCTGAAGGAGGTGGAAGAAGAAGAGGAGGAAGATGATCAGCCACTGGAGAGGAGAAGAGAACAGCGAGGGCAGTACAGTGGCAGCAAAGATGATGAGATGGAGAAGCGGATCTCAGAGTGGGTCGCCAACTTGTCCCTGGGAGAAGAAGAAGAGGTAGCCATGTATATCCCCAAGGACGAGCAGGAAGCCGCTATGAAGGAGTGGGAAGCAGAAAGGGGTGTTGTGAGGCGGCATGCAATGGAGGATGAAAAAAGGATGGAGTGGAAGTTGAGAGTGATGAGGGAAAAGAAGAGGAAAGTGGACGCGACGATTGACGCGGTTAAGGACCTAGGGGAGATGCAGCAACTAACCCTGAAGTTGACCCCTCAGGTAGACCTTGAGAAAAGGTAGAACTCATTGCCCAGATTGTCGAGCGCTTAGCCCGGATACAAGAACAACAGTACGATTTTAGTCGAAGTCAGGACATGGTTGTGCGCTCCATGCGAATGGGGTTTCGGGACTTCGCTCGTGAATTGGTAGGCACGATAGGATCCGAGGTGAATCATCGCCTCGAGAAGACTGAACGATTTTGCGTTGGCGCCATTGAGGGCGTCAAGGCGGCAGCTCCCAAGGAGGAGGAACCACGCCCGCCGCGTAGAGAGCCAGTCAAGGTCAAATTCCCTGATTCCTACAGTGGGAAGAGGGAAGAGAACTTTGATAACTGGGAGGCCAACGTTAAGACCTACGTGCATTTGCAACAGGTCTCCCCGGATCAGCAAGTTCTAATTGCGATCCACGCACTTAGAGATGAGGCCACCAGTTTCGCAAGATCCCTTGTTCGCGCTGCCAACTGCAGTGACGATCCCGTTGCCTATTCGACATTTACTTCCCTCACTGAGTTGATGAGACTCGTAAGTGGAAGAGTGCCAGGGCACTCAAGAGCACGATGAATTAATCGCTGTTCCTGACCATGGGGTCACAAACACTGAATTGGTCGGCCTCTTCTACCGGGCTATCCCCGAAGCCTTGCGAGGGCACTTCTTCGCGAAGAGCGAAGATCCGGCCACTACGTATGATTCTCTTAGTCGTGAAGTCAGCATCTGTGTCTACCTTCTGGCACAAAGACTTGGATAAGGGAAAGCAATGGAAGGGCCGCACTATCTTTGGGCAAGTGAAGACTAAGGATAGCCTTGTCCTAACTCTAGACGAGGGTAGTGTGGATGAGATCCCCTACGACCAGATTGAGTGGGGGTTAGAGGAGGATGACAGCGGTGTGGGCCACGGGAGAACTTAAGCTGCTGTCGCGGTTGGAGGGAGGCCGCAAGGAGGAGGACGAGGCCAGGGCCAAGGGGGCCGGGCCTCAGGGAATCGTTTCCAGGGCGATCAGGGGGTTGGCGGTAGAGGAGGAAACCGCCAAGCGGGAGGCAGGGGTCAAGGTCCCCCACAAAACCGTCCTAGGAATAGGTCTCCCTATAGGGTAGGAGGATGGCACCCAGGGCTACCTCAGGGTAGGCCTTGGGAAACTTTGGGTCTGGACCAGACTTTATGGCAACAACGATTGGACCGGGGCCAGTGCAYTTTCTGCGGTGACCYGGGCCATATCATCAAAYAYTGTYYTAAGTATCGCGAGACCCGAACGGCTGCCCAAGGGCCAAAAGGCAGCCGCCGGTAGGGGTAGCAACTGCCCCTACCACTAGGCCATGTGGGGAATATAGCGCTAGCCGGCAGGAGTCTCCCACACCACATGTGCCTATGGCAGAGGTTGCAGGCCGGTGTCTAGATAGCTGCCCAAAGACTGCTTGTGTTAGAGTCTCTCTAGACACCTCCCTCACAGGCGTGGCCGAAGAATTGAAGGAGAGGAGGCCCGCCTGGGCCAAGATGAAGAAGGAGAATAAAGGGCAGCTGATTTTATTAGATGCAGGGAATTTTAGAAGTAGAGTAGGGGCCCTAGTAGACTCAGGGGACATGACGCGTTGAAGGATATTGATGACGCGTTGTTGTCAACAGTATCAAAATATATACTCACAGCATATGATAGAGAACCCATGACGGCGGACCATCTGACGTCGGAGCAGGACATTTCGTTAAAACTGACATTTCTTTTTTTCTAAATTCAAAAAATTGAGCATACGAAAAAAATTGTTTTTTTTTTTTTTTGCTTTTTCTTTTTGTCCCCATGACGTCAGAACGTCTGATGGTCGGGCGTCGTGACGAAGCCCGATGATCGGACCTTCGGATGTATGTTGACGGTACTTTATGTTGATATTACCACTTTCTCTCACCCAAGGATTCGAACCCGCTTAGAAATATAACCTGGAACGTAAATCTGAAAGTGCAATCAGACTCGCTTTCATTCACACTTACATGCATGAAAACAGCAGCGCAGCAAACTGGCGACATGCGCCCACTCAGTACTCAGAGATATGGCAACCCAGATACGAGTTCACTTCCAATGGCTATGGCGATGTAGCGCCCATACAACTCACTGTTCGCATACAGTGGATCATTCTGGATATCCCACACACGTCTCTCTGAACACTCACACACACACTGAACACTAACTACCGCTATGGCGGCTATGGCCGCCACTACCCTATCGCTATGGCTAAGCTTCGTCTCTCTGCCCTCTTCCTCTTCGGGCTTCACTGCAGACCTCCTTGTACAAGTCGCTGTGGCAGCGCTTCCGCATGGCTCATGCAGGAATGAATGAATGGCTGGGCGCTGCCTCTTGATTTATACTTCTGCAGCTCGTTGGTCTGGCCCTTTCCCATGCCTGAAGTGCACACAGTCCCATGCGGTACTTGCTTGACTGGACCAGGACTAACTGGGGACTGGGACTGCTGACTCAGCACGGGTAGACTCYACCACTTGACCACTTGCCTCGCCACTTGCCCACTTGCCTCAGTCTAAACGTGGSCARCTTCGAAASGCCACTACTGGGACCTTCCGGAAGGCCGTAGACTTGGCCTTTYGTGACTGTAGCAGCTACGACTTTGACCCTTCTGGACTGTAGCAGCTACGACCTTGACCTTTCGGGAAAGCTACAGCTACGACTTCTAGACCTGACTAAGACTCCTACTCGACAGGTCTACAGATCGAACCCCGGCGACCTCTGGACCCTACGACAGTCTACCACTGTTACAAATACACAGGTCACGGGTTCAACTGTAAGGGTCGGCACAGATATTGTACACAGGTAAGGTGGGGACTAGGGATCGAGCCCTGGGATCTGCATCAGCTACTGCGAATTTGTGAATACCGTTTCAGAAGGTACAAATATTGTAGCCTCTGTAGAGAGCGTCAACACGAAGAATTCATTTTTTTTTTTTTCTTTTTTTTTTTCTGTTTTGCTCTACCAAGTTCTGGCCGAGGGTCACGTTCAAGATCTTTGTAACATTAGAGATTAAAAAAAAAAAAAAAACTGAATATATTATAATTTATAAACATCGCCGTCCATCTAGTAGCTGCTGCGCCTTCCGTCTACTTCCCCGCCCCCATCTACTAATAGCAGTGTTTATGTCCAGCACTCACACGTTACACACGTCACACACATCGTACAAGGAACCCGACTGTTCATCACTTGCTGGAGGGCATCAGATCACACGCATATACACAAATTTCACAGATTGCGATGTCTCACACAAAGCCCAATAGAAAATGAATGAGAACCAGGAAGCTCAACTCAATTATCAAACCCAGAATTAGAGAGAGAACATCGTGAGTTCAAAGTGGCGCTGAACAGAGATTACAAGTCTTCTTCAGTCAACATGAACTCCCAGGCCTGGCGCTCATCATCAGCAGCTGCCTAACGTCAACAGCGCATGAACAGGTCGGTATCACCATAGCTCACTTCTTCCCCTTTGATCTCTCTCTTCTCTTCCTCTGTCTATAGTCCTGGTCTACTCTCACTCATCAGGCATGCACACTCCCTATCACACGAGGATCTACTTTGAATACTACGCACTGGTGTCTCCTACTGACTACCTCTACTAGAATACTAACTAGCGCTGGCGCAGCTATGGCTGCCTTCCCTCCCGCCAGCGCTCACTTCCCTCTCACATAGTGCTGCTCTTCAGCCTAGCGCAGCTCACACACATCTCGCGCACAAGTGCCACGACACTTCCACACTCTCATGCGAAGTAAGCATCTGTCCAAATGGGAGGCTGGCCAGTCCTTTATAGTGCTGAACGGGCTTGGCGTGGCCTGTATTCAGCCTCAAGTGTCCCTGGGACTCGCGCCTGGTACCTGTTATTGCAAAGTGTACGTCCCAGTATCTTTTTTCCCCATGGTCTGCTGCTGCTTTGGGCCATCGGGCCTTTCATTTGGAATCCTGGTCTGAATCAGGACTGACTTGTGAGATCATGACTTGACTGGGACTGTGGCCTTTGACTCATTGCCGAACAGACATGACTTTCCATCGAGGAGACATGACCCTAACTCAGTCTTGAAAACTGTGTCCAATACCTGTTCGTGCAGGACCTGTGTGTGACTGTTCAAAACGACTTTTCATTTCATTTTGGATGCGACATTTGCCTTAGGCACTTTGTCTTTTGGGTTGCTGCTCGTGAATTGAAGTTCTGGCCGACAGGGCCCCTCGCTGTTGGGCAATTCATCTGGGGTTTAATCCGTAAAGGCCCTTTTAATCGCACACAATCCCACACACACACACACACACGCACACACACGCGCACACACACATTACACACATCAGACACGATCCCACACACACGTGTTGATGACTGAATACTGACAGGGGGCAGCAAGGACGCTATCTCAGTTGGTTTGCACTAAGCGTGCCCAGGCGCTCAGTGGGGATTCAGTTAAGTCGTCCCGGTTTCCCGTAGAAAAAAAAAAAAAGGAGCGTGGACATCGGGCGCAGACATCCCGGGCCTGGACATCTGGTAATCTAGTTGATGACTCAATTGTGATTGGCTTTTGTCTGTTTGTGCCAGGTGGGGAATATGCAGGTGGAGCATGCTTTCTCGACTGAATTAGCCCGTCGACATGGGATCATGCATTTGGCTCATTCCATTGCTCATGGGATGTGTCATAGAAGAGGGGCATTGCTGGGCAGTCGCCGGGGCTATGTTTTTTGGGCTGCAGATGTTGAAACTTTGCCTACATTGATTGACTTGCCCCCATAACTCTGTCCTTTCATGCTGTGGCTATTAGATCATTGGTTAGTGCGAACTTGGCGCCTTATATCTCACTCACCATTTGAAATTTGTAGCTTTCTGAACCTCTCTTGCCGCAACCGCTTTTAACCGCCTCTCGTCTTTTGTCGTTGCTCCTTTTTCTTTTT